CCAGTTCAAGAGAAGACGTTATAAATCTACTTAGTTTTTTCACCTTACGCAATAAATAACGTCATTCTAGGAAGGGTGGAAAACTCTGTTGAAAAGCCACTCCACTACATTAATAAGAATCTCTTTGATACAGAAAGTCGCTATCTGATTGCAGATAAGACTGTGCTGACCCTTATACTATCAACAATGACATTTCGTTTGTACTTCCGGACCCACGTTATTGGCATGTACACACAACTCCCTTTGAAGGATATCCTATAAAAATCAGAAGCATCATGAAGATTAGTTAAATGGTCGATAAAATTGACAGAATTTGATATTCATTATCTACCACAACCAAACATTAAATCATAAACGTTGGTCGACTTTATGTTAGAATGTACATTGTCTGCTTCTGATGAGTCACTATTTTCTCCTTTACTGTCACTTAAATGGACATTGTACGTGGATGGAGCATCCGAAAACTCTGCAACTCGTGTTGAAATACTGCTCATCTCCCCGAAGCATGACATCTTGGAGTAAGGGCTTCACTTGAAATTTTCATCCATCAATAATTTTGCTAAGTTTGAATCCCTTATCGCCAAATTATAATTTGATATCAACTACAAAGTACGAAATATGATTATCTACACTGATTCTTAGCTCATTGCATCCCAAGTTGAGGGAGAATTTAACGTCCATAACTTACATCTAGTGTAGTATCTCAATCTGCTAAAAACATTTCTCTCCATAATTGAAACATGTCAGCTCATTCACTTACTTCAATAGCATAACCTCTGAGGCGATGCCCTCTTCAAGCTTGCTACTTCGACAACTAAAGATCTATGTAAAAGAAGTTGCATCAAGGAGATACATTTTCCTACCATTGAAGGCACATGTGTGATATTAGCTATAGATGACCCAAATGTGTCATCTTGGATAGATCAAATCATCTCCTTCATCTGAGACGGAACACCACACAATGATGCTACTGTGTTAATTCACCTATGGTACATGGCTGTCAACTTCATCCTTAATAGGAATGAACTGTATAAAAAGACTTTTGTAGGTTCATACCTCAAATTTCATCCCCCATTTGAAGCTTATTACGCTTTACGAGATATTCATTTTGGAATGTGAGGAGCATCTCTAAGTTAGAGCTCTTGCTCTTAATATAATGAGACATGGTTTCTACTACCCACGATCAAGAAACGAAGTCGTTCGCTAAGATCACTGAAGCCAATGCCAAACAGTTTATCTGTAAAAACATTATATGTCACTTTGGACTTCTCATGAAGATTATCACTGATAATGTGACTCAATTATTTGGAAAAGTCTTCACATCATTCTGCAAAGATCTTCACATCCATCTGGTGCAAATTGCAATGCCACGTCCCCAACCGAATGGACAAATAGAGGTGACAAATCAGAAAATGCTCATGGAGGTTGAAGAATCGTCTTGAGAAGAGCTCTACAACGTTCTCTGGGCTTATCATGAACTCCAACCGTGAAACTCTATATAATTTGTGTATCGACAATGACATTATTATTCCAATTAATATCAAAGTTTCAAACCCATGAGTTAAGACTTTCGACTAAGATAACAATAAGGAAAAACTCTGGTAATATTTGGATCTCTCTGAAACACGCGATGTGACCCATCTTAATGTTGTTTCATATCGCCAAAGAGTTGCTTGTCACTTCAACTAGAGAGTAAAACCTCGATCTATTTCTATCGGTGACCTGACCATGGTCTAAACACGAGACTTTTTTATCGTTTTCCCATTTTATCAATCATCCAACTTCTCATATAAATTATATGAGATGCATGTATTTTATTTTATTTTTTAAGTTTTAGAGTTGAGTATCTCCGTAAAATAAAATAGCAAATTTTTTCATCAACTAGAGAGTAAAACCTCAATTTATTTCTTATCGGTGACCTGAACATGGTCTAAACACGAGACTTTTTTATCATTTTCTCATTTTATCAATCATCCAACTTCTCATATAAATTATATGAGATGCATGTATTTTATTTTATTTTTTTAAATTTTAGAGTTGAGTATCTCCGTACAGTAAATTTTTTCTCCTTTAACAATCAACCAATTGCCGTAGCGAATCGTCTCGTACTGGAAAAGAAATCTATTTTTTAAGTTTTAGAGTTGAGTATCTCCGTAAAGTAAAAGAGCAAATTTTTTCACCTTTAACAATCAACCAATTGCCGTGGCGAATCGTCTCGTACTGGAAAAGAAATTGGGTAGAGAAATGGTGGATCTCCACTCGTCGTCCCTGCCATCGCGCTCGGCGGTAGAGCTTTTCGGCGACCCTTCCGGCGACTCCGAGCCCCTATGGTTCAAGAAATCCTCATTCCTCAGCGCCGACTTCGATCCCGAGTCCTACATCGCCGACCTCCGGACATTCGTTCCCCTCGAAAGCCTTGGGGCCGAGCTCCGTTCTCACCTTGCCACCCTCAAATCCGAGCTTGTCGAGCTTATTAACCGTGATTACACTGACTTCGTCAGCCTAAGCACTCGCCTTGTGGATGTCGACTCCTCCGTCGCCCGCATGCGGGCTCCGCTCGCCGATTTTCGGGACAAGGTCGGAGCCTTCCGCATTGCGGTTGATAATTCTCTCTCCTCCCTCCGCGGAGGGCTCCGCCAGCGAGCGGAGGCGTCGGCCGCTAGAGAGATTCTTGAGAGGTTGCTTGATACCTTCCATGTTGTTTCCAAGGTAATTCTTATACTATTCATCCTCTGAACAGTGTGCAGTTTCTGGATCCAAAAAGACAACTCATTGATCAGTATGCTGCTGCTTTTGGATCTGGAGTGGAAAATGGTTGCGTGATAAACCATTTTACACTTTTAGTGGCAGAACTTTTGAAAGTCTATTCTACCCACAAAACCTACCTAGTTTTTTTTTTCATGTGATATCCATGCTCAGCACCGCTAAAACATGCCCCTGTAAGTTGAATATTGGATTATTTTTCAAGCTCCTACGTTCCCATTCGAGAAACTGAGTTTCTTGTTTCCGTCTCTTATCGTCAGCCTTTTTTTCTCCCTTCCACTTTCCAATGATTCACTAGATTTGGTACGATCTCTCATCCTTTAAAATATGGATTTCATATTATAGTTCATTAAGGATAAACAATAACTTCGAATTTAGCAGAAGTTTCCCTTAAAAAAAAAAGGAAAAAATGGGAAAATCAAGGCAAAGATGATGACTCTTGGTACTTTGAGACCCTTTTCATTATATTGTTCATCAGATGTCATTGAGCTAAACTTAATTTGTTAACCGTTGTGCTCATTCAAATGCTGACCTCTTGCAATAATGGAAGATAAATTATTGTGCCTTTGGATTGGAATAGCTGAAGGGGGAAATATACATAACTCCACGAACACAACTTCAATATTGCAAGCAGTCAATCAAGCCCATAATCATACTCTAACTATCATCAATGAATAATAATTCAAGTACACATAATGGATCCTTTTTTATGTACATATGTGGTTATAAGAATAAGATAAAAAATTTAAATGCATATGCCATCCTCCTCAAGCCAAGCAAACATTTTTATTGAAGCATATTCTTATAAAAAGTATAAATAACTAATAAAATAATTTAAGTTTAAATTTCTTTAAGAAGTTTTACAATATATAAAATTGGCCTAAAAAGGCTTGAGAATGGGTTTGATTCAAATTTGTTTTGACAAGTTTTGAGTTCTTGTAACTAGCCTATGAGTTTTTCGGGTTGATTTGGATGTTTATCATAAGCTTTGATAGGTTACAAAGAACTCTTCTTTAGAGAGTTCAGATTCAACCAGTCATCCGAAAGCTTAAGAATTTTTTTTTGTAGCTGTTCTTGTACTTGGCCTATGGCCATTTAGTCTTTTGTGGGTTGATTTGACATATTTGAAGACCTATATTGCATTAATAAAAACTATTTCAGCAGCATAAAACAAAGCAGATTCGATATATTTTGTTGCTGCTTAATTTTTTTGAGGTAGTTTCATTGCATGCGTTATTTGAATCATCAGGCTGAAAACTCTTCAGTCTTTTATGGTGATATTGGAGTCTTTATATCAGTGCTTTGTCTTCTTACTATATGTTTTTTCTGGCTGATAATTTGAGAAACATTTTCACCATGTGATATATCTCCTGTTTGAACATTGAAAGGTTGTAAACTTTTTTAGGTTGAGAAACTCATCAAAGAGTTACCGACCACAGTTTCTGGATCAAGTGCAGATCTAGTTCTCAGTAATGAGAATTCATTGCAGCCTGCAGAAATTGGAACCAACTTCAGAGTGACCCAAAGCATCCTCTTGGAAAGAATTGCTAGTGAAATGAATCGGATCAAATTTTCTATCAGCAATGCAAAGGTCTCTTTCTTTCACTGAAAATTGCATTTTAACTTCACATGCTAAATATGACCATTTCCATTACATAATCTTTTTCTCTTTCGAGTGTAGATGTCAATTTCAAAGTTTGAATTGCTTTGCTGCGAATTCTGGAGCAAATTATCTAGGAAGCGTTTGCAGAGCTGTAGTAAATTATTATTGCATGATTTTGGATATAATACTTTCTACAATAAAATTTTGCTGGTTGACCATGCTTTTTTCTGAAGTTGAATGTTGTTTATCTAGTAGCACTTCATTGATTGGCTATATATTTTTGAGCTGTGAGTCCCGTTCATATTATTCTGCTGTCTTTGATAACGCCCTCTGACCTCTGCCACATATGATAGAAACTTTTTATCGTAAAACTCAAGGACACCATTAAACATAGTAGAATAGGAATTGCACAAATCATTTTGCTGCAATTTATCACCGATTCACCATGAGAACATTGAGCAAAGTTTTTTGAAACTATTGATGAATATTGTCATCTCAGCTTAAATTGATTATGGACAAGATGAGTTTTAGGGAGGAAAAAAATTTATCAAGGAATTCATAATGTACTTTGTTTTCTTTTTATATTCTCTCAAAAGATAGATTTTTCTCCGTATACATTTAATTAAACAAATTTCAAGCAACCTACATTATTCACATGCTTGTGTTAACCTAGTATGTTTTCATTCTCTGCGCTATCACATCAAATTTTATCTTAAACTGTAGTTGCCAATCTTTTTCCCTCTACGTAGTAAACATATTGATAATGGAAATGGTTTCTGGAGGATGTTATGCTTTTGATCTTTATTTTCCATTCTAAATTCTGGCAGTGCAGGATCTTCCTTTTATCGTGAACATGGAAAAGCGAATCCAAAATACCACTGAAATGTTGGATAATAGCTTAGGAAATTGTTTTAAAGATGGCCTTGAGCATCATGATGAAGATGCAATTTACAATTGTTTACGTGCTTATGCGGCTATTGATAACACAGCAGCAGCTGAAGAAATCTTTCGAACAGTTATTGTGACCCCTTTGATTCAGAATATTATTGCTTATAACCAGTCTCAGATCATTGATGGGAGTTCCTCAGATGAGCTTGAAGAGTGCTATAAAAAAATAAAGCAGTGTATTAAGAGTGATTGCAAGTTTATATTGGATATTTCTTCGATAGGTTATTACATATTCTGCCTTTTTATTCTTTTATAGCTACTTTTCTCCTGTGTCATCAGATTCATGGGTTTTTTTTTTTCTCTTTACAGAAAACTCAGGTTTGCATGTGTTTGATTTCTTGGCCAATTCTATCCTTAAAGAAATTCTTGTTGCCATTCAAAAGGGGAAACCTGGGGCATTCTCTCCTGGAAAACCTACAGAATTTCTGAAAAATTATAAATCAAGTTTAGGGTTTTTGACCTATCTTGAAGGTATAATTATTCTGGCTTTTATCTCAATTTTTTTGGAATAAATAGTTGTATTAGAAAATTGTTTCAATGTAAATGAATTAGGTAACTGCATTATGAGCTTAGGTGTACTCCACAAACACAACTAGAGTTTGCCGCGGGGTGCGGTTTGGGTTGGCCGGTTTGGGCATGTTGCTGGCTGTGACAGAAGAAAGGAACACAGTACAGAGTTTATAAGTACTAATATGCCAAAAGGATGAGTCAACCCAAACAAAATTTCCCTGTCTTTGGAATGAGCTGTTCATGCACCGCTGTGGGATAAGGTTAAAAAAGAAGCAAGTCTACATGTTTTCTAAGTTGGCATCCTAACTCTGCCTGTTTCTGTGGTTGGCGTCTTAACTCTGCCTGTTTCTATTGTGCTCCAACCTTATTTAACTCCTTATCCTGAGTCTGCAATAGCAAGTTGAATGCTCTTTCATGCAAAGCAATACAAGCAGAGGAAGCGACTTAATTACAAAACTTCTTTTGTCCATTTTGATGAATAATCTGGGGAATCATTTTCAATAGGATGAGACAGAAATAATGCCAATAAACGTTTTGTGGGGTGGCATTTATCATAATTGGGAAATTGGAGGATTGCAAGAAGTGGATATAAAGCCAACCAATTCTCTTCTTTACTGCTTTTCCTCTGTGGTTTTCATCAGGGTCATTCTTGTTGCAACACCATCATGTTCTTGTTTATCCTTATTTTGTACTTCGTGTTGTTATGCTAGCATTTTGAAGCATATTTTCTGTTCCCTGTTAAAAATATTAATTTCAACTCATTTTCTTGCAAGGTTACTGTTCTTCCAAGTCCGCTGTGTCTAAATTCAGATTACAGACAGTCTATGTAGAATTCATGCGGCATTGGAATATTGGGGTTTACTTCTCTTTAAGGTAGTTTTGACACTCTGAGGCAATGGCTTCTATATTACTGATGTTTCAAAATGTTGTCTGATGATTTTGAAGCCAGTGCTACAATCATACAGATTCCAGGAAATTGCAGAGGCCCTGGATTCCACTCTTATGGCTGGCACTGTTATTCCAGTTGATAATTTGTACAGAAATCAAGAAAATTCCGGAATCTTGACATTGAAACAAAGTGTCATGCTGTTGGAAAGTTTGAGATCATGCTGGAGTGATGACGTTCTTGTTATTTCTTGCGCAGACAAGTTCTTACGACTTTCATTGCAGCTAATCTCAAGGCGAGGTCTTTTTTTTTGGGAAATTTACATTCATTCCACACAATTTTTACGTCTTTTCATATTTAACACCCAATGTTTGATATTTACACGTACTAGCACCTTGGTGTCATAAACCCATGCATGTGTAACTCACTTTTAAAAAGGTAGTGATGGTGGTATTTTTGATGCGATGTTAAAGAATCAAGTGTTATCCATGTAAAATGAATGTTTAGGTGTTAGATATGTAATGCATAAGAATTGTGTATGTAAATGCCTCTTCTCTTTTACAGGTTTATGGACCTGCATTTGTTTTATTCTTTAACTTTCTGAATATTTTGAGAATTGAAAGATGCTTACGTTCCTTGGCTTTACTTACAGGTATTCTACATGGCTATCTTCTGGTCTGCTTGCACGTAATGCAGCTGCGGAAGATTTTATATATGTATGCTTGCATCTTGAATCTTCTCTCTTCAGCATTCACGTGTGTTAGAAAACATAAATATGTGAGAGAATATAAACAGACTTCTTAATGTTTTACTTTTTACCGGTGTTAATCTTGTCCAGGTCATTAAGCTGGTGCAGCATTGGTCGATATTTTTTCTTAGGATTGTTTAGGAATTTTTTTGACTTTTTATGTCTTAAAAGAGGTGGATAATCTTGAAAATTCTTTCCAATAAACATAATTAATGGACATGAACACATTTTCATACTTTGTGCAGCTGTTAAATTTATTGGCAGCAAAGGGAAACTTGATTAAAACTGTGCGGTCAATATTTTGTTTATCATATATAGTACTCTTTATAGCATAATGCGTTTTTGCATGATATGACAATTCTTTTTCAGATATGACCTTTCTAGCTTGCATATCGAATCCACATATTGAAGTCATACCTGTTGTATTCCAGCTACAGTCTCTAACCTTTTATTCCTCTGATTGAACAGCTACAGTGAAAGATATGAGTATCTCTTTACATTCATTTTCTTTATTTGTTGTTTTTCATTATCCTAAGGCATGAAATAAAAAACAACGATGATGCGGGCGCATCTCCCATGCGTGATGTGGGACGCAGCAGTGACAGTTGCCAAACCAGTTGCTTGAACCAACTCATACTAAGGGAGGAGAGGGGCCATGAGATCCTTCCTTGAAGGGGATTTGCCGCCTAACTGAGAGGGCCTACCCTTAGCTAACCTAGTAATATTTATATGTCGTTTTCCTGTGTTTATGCTAGTTTTTTTATTCAGCTTTATGTCAGACAGTTTTCAGCATCGAAGTTTCCCTTTCTCGGATTGTATCTGAGGGCGAGGTGTTATGGCTGTAAATCATTCCGAGGTGGTGTTTATTTACCCTTCCCTATTCACCAAACCTTCATCCCGACGATCTGACCTGTTGCCATCGCCGCCGAAATTGTTTGCCGGCAGTTCGACTGCCGTCTAGCGTCCATCCCCTTCCAGCCCCCTGAAGCCATGCTGCCTCCCATTCCAGCCTTGATTCCTCTGCCACCTTTCTTCCACCACCCCATCGCATCCCTCTTGCTGCAGCCCCACGCCACTTCCTAGCTGCCAGCCATCTAACTGTTTCTTCATCACCTTCCCCTACGTCCCTCCCCTTGTCACCTCCCGAACATCTAGCCCTCCGTATCCACAATTCCCCCTCCAACCGCAACACCACTGCCTTTGATTCGTGCCCTACTTAGTGTTTGTGTTGAGTGTCTATTGTTCTTTTCTATTTTGAAGTGTGGTTGTTGTAATCCTTATTTGTTTCCGCTATAAAAGTTAGATTTCTCGTTGTCGTTTGGGTTAACTCCAGTACCATTTGGTATCAAAACTAGCCTAACCCTAGTCTCATCCTAGGGTTTATAGCATCTGTCATACCCAAAACTATCTCCAACCCCTCCCAACACACACACGCACACGCACAGACACACACACCCTTCTGGGAAAAAAAAACCCCACCCCTAATAACCATGCCACCGAGAAGAAAAATACGACTATTTTATCAAGTGCTACAACGACTCGAGCCCATTGAAGAAAGGACCGTGGGCATGATCAACGTTGATCGTAATAATGAGCTTTGTGCAGGAGAACTTGAAGAACAGTTGAAATCCTTTTGCAGTGATGGCTTCAATGAAGATGAGAGTCCACTATGATGTTTCAGAATGCTGTATCGGAGGAGACCGAGAGAGGAAGTGTTTGCTAGAGGGCAGAAGGATTCAAGAACTAAGGTGGACCTATCAGACTTTGACCGGAGGATGAATCCAGATGATTTCCTTGAGTGGATGCAAATTGTTGAGCAAATATTTGAATAAGGACGTGCTAAATGAGGGAAGAGTGAAATCACCTGTTATCAAGTTGACGAAAGCTGTTTCCTTGTGATCGGAGAACCTGAAGAGAGAGAGAGACAGAGGGAATGACGGAACAAAATCACTTCTTGGGAGAAGATGAAGGTGGCGATGCTGCGACAATATCTACCCCCACACTATTACTAGGATTTTTTCATGAAGCTTCACTTCTTGCAACAGAAGGAGCTATTAGTGGGGGAGTACACGATATAATTTATGCAGCTCAACTTAAAATTTGTATTGAGAGAGATTGAGAGCATTCCATATGTAGGATTTTGGGAGGCTTGAAACCCGCCATAAGTAATGTGATCCAACTGCAAACCCGCTGAACACTGAAGGACTTGCAGACCTTAGCGTTGAAAGTGGAAAGATTACAGAAGTTGATGTACTCACCTTAATTCGAACAACGCCTACAGTTGGAGACCCAACAAGTGCATACTTGGAGGAGTGGGAAGACCTGAACAGGAAACTAACATGGCAGATCAAAGTGGGAAGACCTAGACAGGAAACTAACATGGCATATCAAAGTGGGAAGAAGCCTGAGAAGAGCGGCATGCCCGGTACAATTCCAACCCATAAATGCTTCTGATGCCACCTATACGACCATATCACCTCCACCTGCCCGACAAGCCGAGTGGTGTCATTCACCAAGTAGGGCACCTTGGAGAAAGTGAGTGATGAAGAAGCAGCTGGGGATCGGGGTGAGGAATACTAACTTCGGGGAGATGAAGGGTAAATACTAGTGGTGCGAAGAGTTTTGTAGTCGGAACCATAGAGGGATCACTCGTGGTTGAGACACAATATCTTCCGCAACAATGTACGGTGAGAGGGAAAGTTTGTAGCCTCATTATTGACGGATGAAGCTGTGAGAACGTGGTCTCCGTTTTCATGATGAGGAAGTGGATCTGGCTACATAGAACCCATCCCTATTCTCCAACATGGTTGAAGAAAGGAAATGAGATATGTGTTGATCAACAATGTCTGATTGATTTTTCCATTGGGGATCAACTACATGACCATGTGTGGTGTGTCGTGGTGCCCATGAATTCCTGCTACATTCTGTTGGGGAGGTTCCGACAATTTGATCTCATGATGTATCATGTTGGATTCATGAAAACTTGTGCTTTCATGAAGGAGGGGGAAACACATTGTTTTCTTTTCCATCATTGATTTCGGAGGAGCAGCTACACCCGTTGAGAATAAGGGTTTGTTTGGGGCAGCTGCAGCTTATTGAATAATCTGCTGAGAAGCTGATTAAAAATAATCTTCTGATAAGCTAGGTGCGATGACTATTATAAATTTTTATTTTTTTGGAAAAGTTAGTCCACTGTGAGAAAGCTGCCACCGCACTTAGATAGGTGCGGTGTGAAAACATTGTTTTCAGCGTTTTGAAAACGCATAAGCTGCCAAAATGCAGTTTACCCAAACAAGTCATTTGTGTTTTCAAAACGCCACCGCACCAAATATGCTGCCCCAAACGGACCCTAATCTTGAGGTCCCAGGCACCACTTTTCTGCAGTCAATTCGAGAAGCCCCAATGACACTAGCCTGAGTTTCTTAGAGGGAACTGAAGAGGAGACAAATCCATCGGAGATGGTCCAACCATTGTTATCCAAGTTCCATGAAGGGTGTGTATTTTGAATTTTACATAAAAAGGAGTACAAAAATGTACTAAAAAAGCCATAAGGCTTGTTCAAAAGAGGGTCTGTCATCTTGGAGGATGGCAAAAAACTCGGAATGGTCCCTTCAAAAGAGGTGAAAACATGTATAATAACTCCCCACTTCTGCAAAGTGTGCATAACCTCCTTCACCACAAGACATCCACATGTTACATAATCACGATTTTCATCAATTTCATAGTTCCAAGGGCACCTGTGGGTTTGCTAAGGCTCTGATTAGCGAGCCAAAAATTTTTGGGTGTGGCATTATGGATGAGGAACCATTAGAGAAATCTCATCCTGAGTTGCAGGCCCAATCGCCCTAGCCACATACAATGTTGTCCTTGTGCAGGGAATCATGCGGTTCCAGGAGGTGATGTCCGACAACCTGCTAGAGGGTCCACCACTTCTTAGGGATATCCAACATGTTATAGATCTTGTCTCAAGATCAATGTTGCCCAATAGACATGCACAGAAATTGAGACCAATGGAGTACGGGGAGTTATAGAAATAAGTGCATGATCTAATTACTAAGGGATTGATGAGAGAGTACCAACCCGTGCACTGTCCTCACCTTAAGGGTGCCTAAGAAGGACGACTTGTGGAGGATGTGCATCGATAGTCGAGCTATCAACAAAATCACCATCAAATATCTGTTTCCTATCCCTCGCCTGGACGACCTACTGATTAGTTACATGGAGTTGTAGTCATTTTCTTGAAATTGCAAATTATTTTGTCGCATGTTGATGACCATAGTGTTCTTTCTTCTATATTTATAAATGACGGGTCACATTTTTGTACAAGATTGATATGCATAGCGGATATCATCAGATCAGACCGGGAGATGAATGGAAGACTACCTTCAAGACTAGAGATGATTTGTACAAGTGGACCGCCATGCCATTTGGACTGTCGAATGCACCTATCACCTTTATGAGGCACACATCGGGAAGTTTGTGATTTTTTACTTTGACAACATGTTTGTTAACAACAGTTCAAGGGAGAGCACTTGCAACATCTGAGGTAGATTTTTGAGGTTTTGGGGTCAGAGAAGCTATGTGCCCGTTCGATGGAGCGTCACTTTGTGACGACACAAATATGTTTTTTTGGGTTATGTTGTATTTATTGCAGACATTCAAATAGACCCTACGAAGATAAATGTGATTGTTTTTTGGGTTATGTTGTATTTATTGCAGACATTCAGATAGACCCTACGAAGATAAATGGGTTAGACACCCCATTGTTCTTTACCGAGCTGAGACAATTTTTGGGGTCAGCGTCATTCTGAAGGCGATTCATCAGGAGTTTCAGCACCATTACAACTTCTCTGATAAAGCTTTTGAAGGGAGAGAAGCTCTAGTGGATAGAGACAACCCAGTCCAGTTTTGGAACCCTGAAGGAGAAGGTGATGCAGACCCCAGTTTTAACTTTATCAGACTTCAATT